GGGCCAGCAGGCGCCGGGGATCCAGCGTTAGCCAGGAGAGCCACAGCAAGGGACACTCGGAATCAGACTCCGAGAGGCGGTCTGGGTCTGGTTCCAGAGACCACCATGGGTCCACTCGGGAGCAGTCTAGAAATGGCTCTAGGCACCCTGAGTTCCAACAGGCCGATAGAGCTTGTTATGGGCACCCCTCCTCTGTATTGTCAGACTCTAGTACCAGCAAGGAACATGCTCACTCTAGTATTCTTTCACAAGATTCTGAATATTGTTCAGGAATACAGTCAAGCGGCAATGATGACACTTCTTGTTCTCATGAGTTTCACTCTGATAGTACTGAAAGGCATGGAGGTCAATCAGATTTAGTTTGGAGACATGGCAGCTATGGCAGTGCAGATTATGATTATGGTGAAGCTGGGTTTAGTCACTCTCAGGGTGGAAGTGTTAGTTACAATTCCAACCCGGAGGTTTTTAAGGAAAGATATAATATCAAAAAAGCAAGGTCATTTGTTGAAGATCATCCAAGGTTTTATGCAACGTATATTAATAGGTACCCAGGTTTATATGGGCGTTCAAGTGATTTGTCAAAGAAGCTGGGATTTAGTCAGTCACAGAGATACTATTTCTACGAGTAAGAAACAAATATCAAAGGAATTTTTCCAAGAATAGAAGAACCAGGCAAAAACCCTTTCAATCTAGAAACTTCATAATACTTTCAGGGAGGTTATTTTTTTCCTGTCAATCTGTTTAAAATATGTTACAGTGTTTCACTGGTTTGGTGGTAGTTTATTCTTAGTATGTATTCTTTAAGCTTTATAGTTTGGAAATTTTAAATTTAAGAGATCAATATTATGGAGAGCTAACTTTAGAAAAGTAGGAGTATTTTAGGAGATTGAGGGTCAAGTAATGTTTCATGTTTTTGAGAGTTTATGTTTTGGATATTATCCAAATTTCTAAATTAATGTTTTGCAGAAATATTGAAGACACTAGAAATATAAAACTATTCTTTTGCATACCAATGTTTATATCAACATTAGTGCTTAAGACATCTTTCTCTATTCTTTTTCTATTGGAATTCTATTATTCTGTATTCAAAAAAATAATCTTGGACATAATTGGTATTTTATTAAACTGCATTAAAATTAGAAATAAACTATTAATCATATAATACTGTTTGTCTCTTGTATGCTTATTTCTCATAAACCTAAGTGACATACTTCCCCATAACCAGAATTAGATGTTGTCTTCTATACCACTGTAAAGCTATATGACCATACAGCAGATACAGTACATTCAAAATAGTGAGTAATAAATTAAAATATTAACTTTAGTCAAAGACTATATTTTTCTTCAACATAATCATTGTCCACCAATCACAGGCAGGAAAAAAACATGCTTTGCTTAATCATGATTATCACTATTATTAATATGAAATCATCAACTTAGGTGGCTATTAAGCCATATCAAATAAAGATCAGGTAACAAGAATTACTGAACATTGTTCCTTCTGCCAAAGACACTAGGAGATGCTTTGCAATGGAGACTAGTTGGGGCAGAGAATTTGTGCTGAAATATCCTGGCAAAGCAAAAGGAATTAAAAAGAAGTGTCCTCCTGGCCTAGAAGGAAAATACATGTATCTTTATGCTTTAAGTAAGTAGATGAAGAGGCGGAAAAAGGAATAGTAAAAATATGAATGAAGTTCGACCATTAGCTAGAATATGTTTCTGTAAGAATCATACCCAAATTTTCATTCCCATAATATCAGACTAGAAGTGATATGTAGGCCAGTGTGCACATTTTGCAGATGAGTCTATTATGCAAGTAATCCGCACCAAAGTACACTTAGATATAAATTTGACAAATCTGTGTTTAGTAATTTTATTAAAGCACTTCCAAAAAGCTGCCTTTATTGAACTTACACTTCAATAAACTTAGATAAAGTGAAATTGATTGTCAAAGTTGCAGTAATTCCTAATAGATGCAGGGACTGAATAAGAAAAAAAAAAAAAAGTCATTTTTCTAATTAGCCTTAAACAATATGCCTATAATTGTTCTCTATGTGCCACTTGAAGATGGCATTTTCCTCCCACCAGTGTCATGCTTCCCTGCTTGAAATGTTGCCCCAAATGCCCCAACAAAGCTGCAAACTCCATAAGGAATTATATCTTCAGGACTCATTGCACTGCCACAGACACAAATAGGGAGGATGCCTTTGTCCATTACTCTGACACACTTTGCCACCTTGTCCCCAGTCTCACCACCAGCTTATGCAGCTCCCTCCTGTAGCTCCCGTGTAAAGGAGTAAGGCAGAACAAACAGGCTAAGGAAAAAATATTATAATGACTAGTCTAACTATTGTAGGGGTGCTGATGAAGGACACACAGATGTTAAAATAGTTTTAGTGAGATGTGTGGACTACGACAGCTGAATTCTCAAGTTTTCTGAAGAACTCATAAACAACTGAAACTGTTTTCTTTCATATCCCTGCCCACTCAAGGATAAAATTACCAGACACTCCTTTTTGTTCTTGAAAGAAAATCAGTTTACCTAAAAAGATGCCAACAATATTTACTTGAAACATCAATTTTTCTCTGTCCTCCCTCCTTCCTTTATAAAATTTGTTTTTTTACCTTTTTCCTTAACTCGGTCAGCCAACTCTCTCACATATAAATCAACAATTTTTCTGCAAAACAACTACATGATTCTAAGTTTTTCCTTGGGATAATCTTTTTTAAAATTTTTGTGGGTACATAGTAGGTATACATATATTTTTGGAATACATGAGATATTTTGATACAGGCATAAAATGTACAATAATCACATCAAAATAAATGAGATATCCATCACCTCAAGCATATATCATTTATTTGTGTTACGTGCTTCCCAGCCTCTGGTAACCATCATTTTACTTTCTATCTCCATGAGTTCAATTGTTTTAATTTTTAGATCTCACAAATGAATAAGAACATGTGAAAATTGTCTTTTTCTGCCTGACTTATTTTATTTATGATGTCCTCCAATGCCATCCATATAACTGCAAATGACAGGATTATTTTCTATCAATCAATTGCATGTAAGTACATATTCTTTATCCATTCGTCTGCTAATGAACGCTTAGGTTGCTTCCAAATTTGGCTATTGTGAATACTGCTGCAATAAACATTGGAAGGCAGATATCTCTTCAATATACTGACTTCCTTTATTTTGGGTATATACCTAGCAGTGGGATTGCTGGATCATATAGTAGCTCTATTTTTAGTTTTATGAGGAAACTTCAACCACAGTAGCTATAATCTACATTCCAACCAACAATGTACTACTGTTCCCTTTTCTCTATATCCTTGTCTTTGTTTCTTATTTCCAGCTTTGGATAAAAGCTATTTTAATTCAGTAAGATAACATCTTGTTGTATTTTTGATTTGCATTTGATTTGCATCTGATGATCAATGATGGTAAGCACTTTTTCACATACCTGTTTGTCATTTGTATGTCTTCTTTTGAGAAATGCCTGTTCAGATCTTTTGCTCATATTTTAATTATTAGGGTTTTTTTCCTATTGAGTTGTTGAGCTGCTTACATATTCTAGTTATTAATCCTTTATCAGATGGGGAGCTTGCAAATATTTTGTCCCATTCTGTGGGTTGTCTCTTCACTTTGTTGATTGTTTCCTCTGTGGTGCAGAACCTTTTTAACTTGATCCCATGTGTCCACTTTTGCTTTGGTTGCTTGTGCTTATGGTATTACTTGAGAAATCTTTGCCCAGAAATCTTTCAAAATGTCCTAGACAGTTTCCCCAATGTATTCTTTTAGTAGTTTCATAATTGTAGGTCTTAAAGTGTTTAATTCATTTTTTATTTTTGTATGTAGTAACAGATGAGAGTCTAATTGTATTTTTCTGTATACGGATATCCAATTTTCCCAGCATGATTTATTGAAGAGACTCTCCTTTCCCCAGTGTATGTCCTTGGCACCTTTGTTAAAAGTGAGTTCAATGTGGATATATACTTTTATTTCCAAGTTCTCTCTTCCATTCTATTGATCTATGTTGCCGTTTTTATGCCAGTACCATACTCTTTTTGTTACAATAGCTCTATAGTATAATTTTAAGTCATGTAATATGACTCTTCAAGTTTTGTCCTTTCTGTTCAGGATAAATTTGGCTATTCTGGGTCTTGTGTGGTTCCATATAAATTTTAGGATTTTTTCTATTTCTGTGAAGAACGTCATTGGTATTTTGAGAGAGATTACAATGAATCTGTAGATTGCTTTGGGTGATATGGACATTTTAACAAAATTTCTTCTTCCAATCCATAAACGTGAAACATGTTTCCATTTGTGTCCTCTTCCATTTTTTCATTAATGTTTTATAGTTATCATTGTAGGAATCTTTCACTTCTTTAAGTTTATTTCTAGGTATTTTATTTTATTTGCATTTTTTTTCTCATTCTGTCGCTCAGGCTGAAGTGCAGTTGCCCAATCTCAGCTCACTGTAGCCTCCACCTCCTGAGTTCAAGTAATTCTCCTGCCTCAGCCTCCGGAGTAGCTGGGATTACAGGCATGTGCCACCATATCCAGCTAATTTTTAAATTTTAAAAATTTTTAAATAGTAGAGATGGGGGGGTTTTCCCATGTTGGCCAGTCTGGTCTCAAACTCCTGACCTCAGGAGATCTGCCCAATTCAGCCTACCAATGTGCTAGGATTACAGGCGTGAGCCACCATACCAGGTCTTATTTGTAACTATTACAAATAAAATTACTTTTTAAAATTATACTTTAAGTTCTAGGGTACATGTGCAGAACGTGGGGATTTGTTACACAGGTATATATGTACCATGGTAGTATGCTGCACCCATCAACCCATCATCTAGGTTTTAAGCCCTGTATGCATTAGGTATTTCTCCTAATGCTATCCCTCCCTCCCCATCTCTGGACAGGCCCCTGTGTGTGATGTTCCTCTCCCTGTGTCCATGTGTTCTCATTGTTCAATTCCCACTTATGAGTGAGAACATGTGGTATTTGGTTTTCTGTTGCTGTGTTAGTTTGCTGAGAATGATGGTTTCCAGCTTCATCCATGTCCCTGCAAAGGACATGAACTCATTCTTTTTTGTGGCTGCATAGTATTCCATGGTGCATATATGCCACGTTTTTAATCCAGTCTATCATTGATGGGCATTTGGGTTGGTTCCAAATCTTTGCTATAATAAATACTGCTGCAATAAACATAGTGTGAATGTGTCTTTATAGTAGAATGATTTATAATATTTTGGGTAAATACTCAGTAATGGGATTGCTAGGTCAAATTGTATTTCTGGTTCTAGATCCTTGAGGAATCACCACACTGTCTTCCACAATGATTGAACTGATATACACTCTCACCAACAGTGTAAAAGCATTCCTACTTCTCCACATTCTATCTAGCATCTGCTACTTCCTTACTTTTTAATGATCGCAATTCTAACTGGCATGAGATGATATTTCATTTTGGCTTTGATTTGCATTTCTCTAATCACCAGTGACAATGAGGTTTTTTCATGTTTGTTGGCCACATAAATGTCTTCTTTTGAGAAGCGTCTGTTCATATTCTTTGCCTTCTTTTTGATAGGGTTGTTTTAGTCTTGTAAATTTGTTTAAGTTCCTTGTAGATTCTGGATATTAGACCTTTGTCAGATGGGTAGATTGCAAAATTTTTCTCCAATTCTGTAGTTTGCCTGTTAACTCTTTATGCAGAAGGGGTCAGAAACAAACCTCTCTGAACACTGAAGAGAGAAGGAAGTGGTAATTTTATTCAGCTGAGAACTGTGGCAGGCATAGATGCCTCAACAACCAAGCTCCCTGACTAGAAAATTCTGTCCTCTTAAAGGCTCACAATCGAGGAAACATGTGAGAGGGTCATGATTGATGAGGTAAGCAAGGGGTACATGACTTAGGTGGGGGGTCTAATTGTGATTAAGCAAGAACAGTGCCTTCTAGGGAAAATTCCTCAATCCTACCTCCGTGATCTATAGAGAGGATTGTGGTTAGCAGTAGGGGTTTTAATCCATTAGACCTGGCCAGAGGCACCAACCAGTCCCTCCTCTGGTTGACTTTTAACTTCTCCTTCTGAGACGCAGTGTAGAAGGCTAAAGGGGAAATGGCCTTAGAAACCTGAGAGAAAAGAGTATCCTTCCTCACTCTGATGATAATTTCTTTTGCTGTGCAAAAGTTCCTTAGTTTAATTAAATCTTATCTGTCAATTTTGGCTTTTGTTGCAATTGTTTTTGGTGTTTTAGTCATTAAGTCTTTGCCCATGCCTATGTCCTGAATGATATTGCCTAGGTTTTCTTCTAGGGCTTTTATGGTTTTAGGTCTTACGTTTAAGTCTTTAATCCATCTTGAGTTAATTTCTGTATAAGGTGTAAGAAAGGGGTCCAGTTTCAGGTTTGTGCATATGGCTAGCCATTTTTCCCAGAACCATTTATTAAAAAGGAAATCCTTTCATCATTGCTTGTTTTTGTCAGGTTTGCCAAAGATCAGATGGTTGTAGATGTGTGGTGTTATTTCTGAGGCCTCTGTTCTGTTCCATTGGTCTATAGATGTGTTTCGGTACTAGTGCCATGCTATTTTGGTTACTGTAACCTTGTAGTATAAAGTCAGGTAGTGTGATGCCTCCAGCTTTCTTTTTGTTTAGGATTTCTTGTCTATATGGACTCTTTTTTGATATCATATGAAATTTAAAGTAGTTTTTTCTAATTCTGTGAAGAAAGTCCATGGTACCTTGGTGAGGATAGCATTAAATCTATAAATTACCTTGGGCAGTATGGGCATTTTCACAATTTGATTCTTCCTATCCATGAACATGAAATGTTTTTCCATTTTTAGTGTGTCCTCTATTTCCTTGAGCAGTGGTGTGTATTTCTCCTTGAAGAGGTCTTCCACGTCCCTTTTAAGTTGTATTCCTAGGTATTTTATCCTCTTTGTAGTCATTGTCAAATGGGAGTTCACTCATGATTTGGCTATTTGTCTATTATTGGTGTATAGGAAGGCTTGTGATTTTTGCACATTGATTTTGTATCCTGAGACTTTGCTGAAGTTGCTTATCAGCTTAAGGAGTTTTTGGGCTGAGACTATGGGGTTTTCTAAATTTACAATCATGTCATCTGCAAACAGAGACAATTTGACTTCCTCTCTGCCTATTTAAATACTCTTTATTTCTTTTTCTAGCCTGATGGCCCTAGCCAGAACTTTCAATACTATGTTGAATAAGAGTGGCCAGAGAGGGCATTCTGGTCTTGTGCCGGTTTTCAAAGGGAATGCTTCCAGTTTTTGCCCATTCAGTATGATATTGGCTATGGGTTTGTCATAAATAGTACGATACTATTTGACTATTTGACTATTTTATGATACTATTTGACTATTTATGACTAGTTTGTCATAAATAGTATGTAATAAATATTATGTCTACTAAGTGTGATATTAGTTATGGGTTTGTCATAAATAGCTCTTATTATTTTGAGATATGTTCCATGAATACTTAGTTTATTGAGAGTTTTTAGCATGAGGGGTGTTGAATTTTGTTGAAGGCCTTTTCTGCATCTATTGAGATACTCATGTGGTTTTTGTCATTGGTTCTGTTTTGCCAGTATTTCTTGGGGATTTTCATGTTGATATTCATCAGAAATATTGGCCTAAAATTTCCTTTTCTTGTTGTGTCTCTGCCAGGTTTTGGTATCAGGATGATGTGGTCTCATAAGATGAGTTAGGGAGGAGTCTCTCTTTTTCTATCGCTTGGAATAGTTTCAGAAGGAATGGTACCAGCTCCTCTTTGTACCTCTGGTAGAATTTGGCTGTGAATCTGTCTGGTCCTGGGCTATTTTTTTGGTTGGTATGCTATGAATTACTGCCTCAACTTCAGACCTTGTTATTGGTCTATTCAGGAATCCGATTTCTTTCTGGGTTAGTCTTGGGAGAGTGGATGTGTGCAGAAATTGATCAATGTCTTCTAAATTTTCTAGTTTATTTGTGTAGAGGTCTTTATAGTATTCTCTAATAGCAATTTGTATTTCTGTGGGATCAGTGGTGATATCTTTTTTACTATTTTTTATTGTGTCTATTTGATTTTCATCGATTTTTTAAGGGTTTTTTAGTGTCTCTCTCTTCTTCAGTCCTGCTCTAATCTTAGTTATTTCTTGCCTTTCTGCTAGCTTTTGAGTTTGTTTACTCTTCTCCAGTTCTTTTAATTGTGATGTTTAGGGTATTCATTTTAGATCTTTCCCATTTTCTGATTTGGGCATTTAGTGCTGTAAATTTCCCTCTATACACTGCTTTAAATGTGTCCCAGAGATTCTGGTACATTGTGTCTTTGTTCTCATTGGTTTCAAATAATTTATTTATTTCTGCCTTAATTTCATTATTTACCCAGTAGTCATTCAGAAGCAGGTTGTTCAGTTTACATGGAATTGTGCTGTTTTGAGTGAGTTTCTTAATCTTGAGTTCTAATTTAATTGCACTGTGGTCTGACAGGCTGTTATGATTTCCCTTTTTTTTTGCATTTGCTGAGGAGTGTTTTTACTTCCAATTATGTGGTCAATTTTAGAATAAGTGCTATGTGTTGCTGAGAAAAATGCATATTCTGTTGATTTAAGGTGGAGAGTTCCATAGATGTCCACTAGGTCCAGAGCTGAGTTCCAGTCCTGAATATCCTTGTTATTCTGTCTTGTTGATCAGTCTAATATTGACAGCGGGGTGTTAAAGTCTTCTACTATCATTCTGTGGGAGTCTAAATCTCTTTGTAGATCTCTGAGAACTTCCTTTATGAATGTAGGTGTTCCTGTATTGGTTGGGTGCATATATATTTGGGATAGTTGGCTCTTCTTATTGCATTAATCCCTTTACCATTATGTAATGCCCTTCTTTGTCTTTTTTGATCTTTGTTGGTTTAAAGTCTGTTTTATCCGAGACTAGGATTGCAACCCCTCCTTTTTTTTTTTTTTTTTTTTTTTTTTTTTTTTTTTTTTTTTTTTTTTTGCTGTCCATTTGCTTGGTAAATATTCCTCCATCTCCTTATTTTGAGTCTACGTATGTCTGCATGTAAGATGGGTCCCCTGAATACAGCACACCAATGGGTCTTGACTTTGCAAGTCTATGTCTATATATATCTACATATAGATATATCTAGGTAGATTTATTTTTCGGGGATACATGTACGGAACGTGTAGGTTTGTTACATAGGTATCTGTCTGTGTCTTTTAATTGGGGCATTTAGTCTATTTACATTAGGCCAACTGAATTTCAATGAAGACATCAAAAACATACATTGGGGAAAGGACAACCCCTTCAATAAATGGTACTTGAAAGAGTGGATATGCATATGCAGAAGAGTGAAACTGGACTTCTATGTTGTGCCATATACAGAAATTAACTTAAGATGGATTAAATACTTCAATGTAAGGCCCAAAACTATAAAACTGCTAGAAGAAAACACATGGAAAAACCCTTCAGGACACTATCTAGTCAAAGATTTTATGGCTAAAACCTCAAAAGCACAGACAACAAAAACAAAAATAGACAAACTGGACTATGTAAAACTAAAAAGCTTCTGCACAACAAGGAAAATAATAAACAAAGTGAAGAGACAATCCATTGAATGAAAGAAAATATTTGCAAACTATTCATCTGATAATGAACTAATATCTAAAATATACAAAAAACTCAAATGACTCAACATAAAAAATAGTATAATTATAAAGTAAGCAAAAGACATGAATTTTTTTTTTTATTGTACTTTGGGCTCTGGGGTATATGTGCACGTCCTGCATCCTGCAGAATTGTTGCATAGGCACATATATGCCTTAGCGGTTTGCTGTCTCCATCCTCCCACCGATCGCCTACATCAGGCATTTCTCCGGGTGTTATCCCTCCCCAACCTCCCTGCACCCCACTGTCCCTCCCCTCCCTTCCCCGCCACCTACCCAGTGAGTGTTGTTCCCTTCCCTGTGCCCAAGTGTTCTCATTGTTTATCACCTGTCTATGAGTGAAAACGTGGTGTTTTGTTTCCTGTTCTTGTGTCAGTTTGCTAGGAATAATGGTTTCTAGCTTCAT